TTACTTTTTACCCCCCTTTCAACCTATAAGCCAATGTTATTTCCAGGAGGGGGGCAATGCTATAGCTTAGCTCAGAGGTCTTCAAACTTGGCCCTTTTATGACTTGTGGACTTCAACTCCACAACTCAGCTCGGTGGCTGAGGAATTCTGGGAGTTGAAGTCCACAAGTCATAAAAGGGCCAAGTTTGAAGACCCTTGGCTTAGCTTATTTAAAATTGTCTTTATGATTTATTTCATGGTAATGGTGAATTCCATTTAAAGAGCTTATTTTAAGAACAAGAACAATTTTAGATTTCATAAAAGGACAAGCATCATTGTTGCAGTAAAAATGTAAAAAGTCTACTCAATTCAAAATTCCGTTGATTCATGTTGGGTCTTTAGTTATAAATTAAATTATTCTAAAAATACAAACATTGTAATAATGTTGAATGTTATAATGTTAAAGAGTTAAATATCAGCATTTTTTTCAGGTTAGATTCTGTTATCTAGAGTTTTCTTTCTTCTATTTTCAATTTACTTTACTCAGCCAACAATAAAAATATGTATTTGTTTGTAATACCAAATGAGTAAGAATCATAACAGTATGACAGTAACCAGAAGGGTTGGGTGTAATAAGACAGTGCCATAAATTAAATCATTTCATCCTTGCTGGCACAGTAACTAAACCTTTTCTCTTCTTTTTCTGGGACACTACTTGATACAAAGGATATATATATATATTTTATAAAAAGGCCCTGAACATCAAACACCTGTTTTTCAGAAATATTAAAACAGGAAGAAAGGTTTGTGATTAAGCTTTGCCTCTTTCTATCTAATCAGTTCAAAATCCATTCATTTCCTCCCTTTCTAAGAATTCTGAAAACTTTGGGAGATGTCTAATTGGTAGCTTTTACATGAGTCAGTGCCTGGGCATTACGGTAAGAGTTTAATTAAACAAGATTAATTAATTAATATGTAGTCAGGATATCTAAAACACATATTCATAAGGCTCTGTGTGAGAATTGCTTAGTACAAATACATACCATTGGACTGTATTGATTATAACCATACAGGTCAAAGGTTGGGAAACATCTTTGTTTTTCAAAGCTGGTTTCGTTTATGATTAAAACTGGTGATCCTCTTTTAAAATACAGTACATTCCTGTACTTACTTGAAAGCACCTACAATCCGTAGATGGTTAATTATATTTTCCTTTTGGCTGCAGCAAGGATCTGGAGTATTAGGGGAGATAAGCTCCTGATTAGCTAAACTGGCTCAGGACAAGGTCAAACAAATCACAGTTACAGTGGTTAGTCAGCTCCAGAGGCATTTGCACCATTGAGACAAGATAGACATCGAGGCAGAAAGGGCTAAGCAGCAGGCAGAAAAAGCTTAAAAGTTTATACTTTCATCTTAGAGACAAAATCAGCAAATGAAGCAGGTTTTTCTGGCACTTGCTGGACCAGGTTTGTCTTGCAGTCATCAATAATGCCTAGCAGGCTTGTACTGCAGACTAAAAGGTAGGCTTAGATCACAAGGCTAAGAACCTGTAGGCTGGCAAAAAGTGTTGATTCTAATTATCAGGAGCTTTTGAGAGTTATGTAGCAAAGAAGCACTCCCAATTGTCCTTCAGCAATCAAACTATTATTATCAAGAGATTGTAATTATGTAATACCTTGATATGTCCTCAATATTTATGTGGATGTGGAACTTACTTTTCAACACAGTTGTTTTTCCAAAACTTAGAAGCTGTTAAAAAGAGAATGAATGTCACTACTTTGGATCACTTTCTGGACAAGCTCACCTTGATTAAGTTCAGGACATTATTTTGCTTCAGGGCTCTCCTGTTTTACAGCCCCTTCTTTATAATAATGAACAGTTCTGCCCTTGGAAGGACTTCTCTTTGTAGGAGATAATCTCCTGGAAGTTCTGTCCTGTTCAGATATTAATACCAAGACATCTGAATAAAGAAAAACAGGGAGCTGAAATTTTCCACCATAGTTGGCACCCATTTCATATACTGAGCAGGAGACACCCAGCTCTTCCCATCACAGACTTTTCCATGGTAACATGCTTGCTATTATTTTATATTTATAATTATAATTTCTAAATATCTATCTGCACACATACACACACACACACATACATACACACACATGCACACACATAGTATGATTGTTGTACAGATTTGTGCTCTTTTGGTTTTAGGGTTTGTGTGGGAGCAGAATGACAAATATCTTTTTTAATGGTATGGGTTAGGTACTGTTTTAAGAGCTGGGACTAACCAACCCATTGACTGATGAGTAAGCTTTATAAGGAAATTGATTTCTTCTGAGAATAAGAGCTCTGTAGAAATCGCGCAAATGGTTAAATGGGATGACACCAATGATGACGAAGGAGATGTGATCAAGAAATGGATAGTTTTACTGAGAAATCCTTCAAAAGTAGTGGTTTGTTTATTCAAAACATCCTATTGGATGAAGGCTGAGTACATCACCCTTATATTCAATTCCAGTTCAAACTATGAATGATGCTTTGAGACTAATTATTTCTTTTTATTTCAAATGGAACTATGAATCCAGATTATACAGAGTCGCCTCAGTTGAAGCCATTTGGAACAGACAAAATGGTTCTATGATGTACTTGTGCTCTATCACATCTCCTCTGTAATAATCTCCCTGCCTTCTTCTTTTTCTTTTCTTCCTCTCATCTCCCCTCCCCCCCCGAATCTTTATCACATCTTTGATGCAAAATTTCTGGCTCTAGACATTTACATTTTCAGTCATGTGTTCTTTTGAATCAAGAGTTAAAGCCTTTTAATAATATATAAAAATAATATAATAATATAAGCAGAGTGGTGTGGTGGCCTAGCGGTGAAGATACTCACCTCCCACTTGGAAGGTTGAGAGTTCAATCCTAAGCAGCAGAAGATGTTTCTCTCCCAGGCGCAAAAAAAAAATAAAAATCTGCTCTGAACTCTGTGTGGCATCAGGAAGGGCATCCAGCCAGTAAATGCTCAGCTCCATTTAGTCACCCTGACTCTGCCCCAAATCAAGGAATTACATGGTCATAAAAAAGAGTTAATATAATAATATAAACATAATATTACTATTTTTTAGAATTGTGGAATATTTTAATATTGTTATTTTATACGCTTTTTAAAAACTGTACACCACCCAGAGTCATGTCTTGGGAAATGGGAGGCCATATAAATATGATAGATAGAAAGATGGACAGGTAGATAAATGCTAATTAGTTGGTAATACCTTTAAAAATGAGGCAATATTTTTCCAGTTAAAGCCCCATATATGTTTATTTTTTTCATTAGGAAGCTCCATGAAAACTGTAATGGAGGTAACTGTATATAGTTTGATCTGTACACGACATTCTCACATTTGCAGTGGCTCCCTCATTCCCTACCATGGAGAAAAATGTTCTATGTTCATCCTTTGAAATAATGGGTGTCAAGCAGATTTGCATAAGCTTGAGAAAACATTGGGTTCAACTGATTAAAATTAAATGAGTTTCTTAAGGTAGCTGCAACTTTTTTTCCAGATTTGTATAGAGTCTGAAAAGGCTTATGAATAGCAGAGGAGTAATGTATTTATGCAAGACACAAAGTACTTTTTCCAATCATTTTCAAAGTGTGCTTAGGTCTATTAGATACTGGAGAAACCAAACTTTCGGACAGCTTCCAAAAATGTTGGACATACAGACAACTGCTTACTAAAGAGCTTTGTTTGGTACCACAAAGCACATTAAGAGCTCCAGTGTTTACAAAAAGCACTAGAACAGTGTTAGGGGATTTAAGATTAAACCATCTTTACCACTTTTGTTCTTTGCATATATTGATGATTTAACATGCCAATATTATGTCTGCATTTGCACCGTATGCTCAATACGGTTATTGAATTAACTCATTTTTTTGAGTTTACATTACAGGTAGTCCTCGACTTATGACCGTTCATTTAGCAGCTATTCAAAGTTACAGTCAGTGCTGAAAAAAGTGACTTACAACTACTCTTTGTGCTCACAATCATTGCAGCCTCTCCTTGGTCATGTGATAAGAATTCAAATGCTTAGCAACCAACTTGTATTTACGATGTCCTGAGGTTAAGTGATCCCTGTTTGCAACCAGGGATCATTGCAAAGTCAATGGGGGAAGGCAGATTTGCTTAATGACTGTGGCAAAAAAAAAAGGTTGTAAAACTGGGTGTGAGTCAGTTAATGACCACATCACTTAGCAATAGAAGTTCTGGCTCTAATTGTGGTCATAAGTCAAGGACTACCTGTATACAATGAATCATGAAACATAAATACAATCTAGCTAAGTTTGCATTGCATGCTAACACAAAGCAAACTATGGTTAAAACTAGTCAAGATTTTTGCATTATGAAATGCAGCCCCTAGGTCTTTAATGGGCCTTGATCATTGTGTTATGCAAATGGAAACAAATATAACTCTGAACATGGTACTATAACTCCTAGGAGGAAATCATTTCATTTTGTTTCAGATTCCAGTAACCTTTCAGAACAAATTATTATCACAATATGCTTTGATAATAGCTTTGAAGTGCATTTAGTCACTGTTCAAAATACAGCGGCACTGAAAAATGTGACTTATGACATGCAGCATCCCCATGATTATCTGATCAAAATTCACATGCTTGGCAATTAGCTCATATTTTATGACCGTAGGCTGCAAAAGGTGATCACAAAGATCATGTGATCACCTTTTGCAGCCTTCTGACAAGCAAAGTCAATGGGGAAGCCAGATTCACTTAACAACCAGATTAACATCTTATCAACTGCAGTGATTCACTTAGCAACTGTGGCAAGAAAGATGGTAAAATGGGGCAAAAATCACTTTAAAAATGTTTCACTTAACAACAGAAATCTTGGTCTCAACTGTGGCCATAAATTGAGGACTACCTGCATTCAGATATTGGGTCAGTATTAATCAAAAGTGATATTGCATGGCTGAGAGTTAATCTCTCCCCTTTCCGCCTCCTTTTTTAATAGTTCATGACAAAGAACCCTAAAATGCGACTAGGAAGCAGTGCCTTGGGTGGAGAGAAAGCGATTCTCCTGCATCCCTACTTTAAGGAACTGGATTGGGACCTGCTAAACCAGCGCCAGATTGAGCCACCTTTCCGACCTCGAATCGTAAGTGTTTAAAACTGTGAGTTGTGTGTGTATTGGTCCATGCAAGGACAGATCATATCCAGTAAAGGAATGCATGCATTTTATGCAAAATGTCAGAGGTTCAATCTGGGTCCAGCCAATATAGTAGAGAAATGGACTAGGACCTACTTGATCTGAGATGACTTCCTGGCCATTTCTTTTTCTTTCTTTTTTTAATGAATATGGGCATTGCCCAAATTGTGCTTATGTGCTTTTGCTGGGATGCTGCCCACTTTCAGAACTCATATTGGCTGCTTCCAATGTGAGAAACACCAGGTTTGCATTTGTTTGTGTGACCACCAGAATTTAACCAAAGGAAGAAACATTTGTTTTATTTGTTAGTTGTCAAAGTCAGGTCAGATCACAAGGGGTCCAGGCGCATCTGGCACATCATTATAATCATTATTGTCATCAGTTAGAAGTGACCTTGGAGGTCTTCTAGCCTAACTCCCTCTTAAGCAGGAGACCCTATGCCATTTCAGACAAATGGATGTCCAGTCTCTTTTTAAAAACCTCCAATGATGGAGCACACACAACTTCTGAAGGCAGGCTGTTCCATAGCTGTTAGGAAATTTATCTTTGGTTCTAGGTTGCTTCTTTCCTTGATTTGTTTTCATCCATTGCTTCTTGTCTTGCTTTGGAAAATAAATTGACGTCCCCCTTTTTGTGGCAGCCACTCAAATATTGGAATACTGCTATCATGTCACCCCTCGTCCTTCTTTTCACTAGACTAGACATACCCAGTTCCCGCAACTGTTCTTTATAGTTAAATTTACATTTTGTCTTTCTGCCCAAACTTCAAGGGAGCCTACATAGCAGTTCCTTCTCCAATTTTCTTTTGTGACAACAACAAGGTTCTGAGGTAGATTGGGCTATGAGAGAATAATTGGCCCAAAGGCTCTCAGCAAAATTTATAGGTGAGGGGTCTGGTTTTCTCTGATCCTAGACCAGTGGTTCTCAACCTTTTTATACGGCGACCCCCGGTCACATGGATGCGGCGCGCATGCTTGGCGGCGCCCCACGCGTGGCGCGCATGCACAGCGGCACCCCCTTGCATGGCGCGCATGCGCGGCGGTTGCCCCTTTGTGTGGCGCGCATGCGCGGCGGCGCCCCCATGCGTGGCGTGCATGCGCGGCGCCGCCCCTGGCGGATCGCGTTGTTTGGCGACCCCCGTAAAATGGTTGTTCGACCCCAAATGGGGTCGCGACCCATAGGTTGAGAACCGCTGTCCTAGACCAATATTTTAAGCATTGCATCAGTTCAGAGCATATTCCATAGAATATGCTGTCAGCAAGAAGAACTCTTCACATTTGTGTTTCGGGTCACATTTCCTGACTCCAGTGGGGAGATAAGAAGCTATTATCTATAGCTCAGACTATGTGTCCTTCTAGCTTTGGCCAACATAGTATCCTCCAAGTAATGTCATCTAATATTTATTTTGTTTTCATTTGCCAGAAATCAAAAGAAGATGTGAGTAACTTTGATCCTGAATTTTTAAAGGAAGAGCCGATTTTGACTCCCATTGAAGAAGGAATACTATCCATGATCAACCAAGAGGAATTTAGAAACTTTTCTTATACAGATCCAGAATTAGAGTCTTAGCTCCATGTTGACTGGGCTCTCTATTCAGCAACAAAGAAGGATTGGAATATGGGATTGCCTAGTCATTTCTTCAACTGGACCATCCAACAGGCAGACTTATACTATGCATCAGAGTAAAGAGGAGAAAAATGAAACTGAGGAACTCAGCAGGAACAAATATTTCTTCCAGTAAATGAATGATGCACAAAAGACGAATGGGTAGAGCTTGTTAGCTCTGAATGGCTACTGAAGTAACTTTGCAGTAACTGTGGGGAATTTCTGGAAAAACAAAATCAACTCTGAGCCAAAACTACCTTTTTGCAGCACTGATTTCCCATGAAATAACTTGGCTGAACTATCTTCCGCAATCAAGGAAGCAAAAAGAGAATAGGGCTGACTGGCTTGAACTGTATTAGAGAAAGGTTACATGTGCTACTACTTTGCTTAGAGGTTATAGGTTCAGGTTTCCTCAAATCAGAGTGAGTACACATCTGTTAGAAATATTTTGGATGCCCATTTACAAATATATGTGATTATACACATTGACAGGAAATAAAGAAAAGAGAGCGGGAGGGCGGGAGAGAAGGAGGAAGGAAGGAAGGAAGGAAGGAAGGAAGGAAGGAAGGAAGGAAGGAAGGAAGGAAGGAAGGAAGGAAGGAAGGAAGGAAGGAATTCTGCATTGAATGCTACTGAGGATGTTTGATGATACCGTATGTATGGGATTTGGTGGGATGCTCCACCGTGCCCATCTTTATCATTATCCACTAGATACTGGCAATCAGGTAAAAAGGGGAACATCATGATATACTCTCATGCTATGGATATGTGTCCATGTGAAGGAACAGGAGAATCAATCCACCTGCTACCTCTGCATTAGAATGTGGGAAATATTATCTGCAGATTTGTAAAATATCGAGGTTTTGTAAAATTTGGCTAATTTAGTTTTTAGGGTTTTCTTCTTTTTATGACTTTTATTCTTCTTGCCTGAATTTGCAGAACAACTTACAACTGATTCTGTTTTTTATCCAAAGACAACTTTACTTTGGATTCCCTTTACAAACTGATGGCATTTCTAAGCTGCTCATTTTTTTAAAAAATGAAAATTTAAAAATGTAGCAGTTAAATTACTTGTCCACCTGGATGAAGGACAATGCACTGAAGCTATTTGTAACTTAATTCACATACTAAATCTGAATTAAGAGAAACCACACAATATTTGACATATTGTGATCGTGTGACTTCTTTGCCTCAACAGTAACATGGAGCTGAGAGTTTCATGCTCAAGTCAGGGAATTTAATCTGTTGTTATTGTTGCTATCTATTATCATTTTCAAAGCATGTAATAATGTATGCAAGTATCCTGATGTTACCAGATTCTGCTTTATATCTCTCCAAGCATATCAATCCACATTTTAATTAAACTAGATGTCAACTTCATTTATAAATCAATTTGAACTATAAAGTAATACAATGAATTCATCAAAATATTGAAAAGATGAGTGGAGGTTTGAAGCTTGGTAAAATACAAGAAATAATATAGAACAGGGTTCCCAAATTTCTGCAGAAGACAAACGTATAGTAACATTTAGCATGTAGCATGTAGCAAGATGATACTACTGAAATCCTCAAATCAGATTATATCCAATATTTATCCAAAATTACTCTTAGAGTGTCAGGGAACCCCTGCCACCCCCCCATACCAAATCATAAGGACCAATCTTGGGGAATAAAATATAGTGTTATATCCAACTTTAATTGAAAATACTTTGTCTTGTCAATGAGATTCTTCGTTACTTTCCTACTTCCCACAATACATATCTCATGTCTTCCCTGAACATTACTGAAATGGGAAGCATGAAATCTCCTAAAATCAATGATATGAAGGGGTTGCTTCATTCTATCTAATATTAGGACTCTCCTTAAATGGACTTGCATGTTGAGTTCAGTAAGTTATTTCTTTATAAATTGTCACCTGTGATGATCTATTGTTGGTGACCTCTGTACCTGGAATTGGGTATATCTAGTTTAATGAAGAGAAGGATGAGCGGGGACATGATAGCAGTGTTCCAATATCTCAGGGGCTGCCACAAAGAAGAGGGAGTCAAACTATTCTCCAAAGCACCTGAAGGCAGGACAAGAAGCAATGGATGGAGACTAATCAAGGAGAGAAGCAACCTAGAAATAAGGAGAAACTTCCTGACAGTTAGAACAATTAACCAGTGGAACAACCTTCCTCCAGAAGCGGTGAATGCTCCAACAATGGAAGTATTTAAGAAGAGATTGGACAGCCATTTGTCTGAAATGGTATAGGGTTTCCTGCCTGAGCAGGGGGTTGGACTAGATGATCTCCAAGATCCCTTCCAACTATTACTACTACTATTACTACTACTACTACTACTACTACTACTACTACTATTATTATTATTATTATTATTATCATCAATATAGCAGCCATTTCTCAAGGGCTAGCTTATGAAAACGTACAGCTAAAGTGTAAACTTTAGTTCATTTTTTATACTTGATCAACTTAATAATAGTGAGATGAGAGCTCCCTTATTTCCTCAGATATCTGACTGATTACAGGTCTATGATAACCGCCACTTCTTGGCTGATTTAATTTACAAGAACAACTGTTTCCTGGAATGTACCAATTTAGGCTACAGGAGGAGGATGTAGAGACGTCCTGCATAATGGGGGGAGGGGAATCTAATAGCTGGCATTTTTGAGAGAAAACTAAATTACAGTAAACCTTCAGCTTAACAGATTGTAAAGAAATGGGCCACCTTCAAAAAATGGCTTCGTTCATCTTGAGAAGCACATATACTGTATGATCGAAATGAAAGAGGGTTATGAATATTTAACAGATGTTGACAGTATAGCAAATTCAAAAGGACAGGAATACAGCTTGGATTGACTAATTGCCGTGCAGACTTCTCCAGGTTCATGAATTAAATCTTTTCTGGTGCTTTGAACAAATAACTAGAGGTGTACTTGGATGACAAACTGATTTTTTCCCCCAAAAGTCCCATCTTTGCATGAGACTCATATCATAAATATCTTAGAGCACTTCCCAAACATTTTACTAAGTTGGAAACATGACTGTGTGATCTTCCCCAATTGGATTATTTGAGTTACTGAATATGTACAGATGGAATACAAATGGTTTCCTCAGAAATAAGGTCCATCCTTTCATTTCAGACATCTGGAAATGTGAAGGATGTCCAAATCTTTCTGGTCAGTGCAATATCTATAGAATTAGCCCCAATTTTGCTGAATGCACAAGAAAGGACATAAATTTAAATTATCTACTGAACAGCAGTTTATCAGGGCTTTTAAAAAAATCTTATCTCCCCAAGCCACTGTTCAAATATCTGGATCCTTCCTGTCCATTTATTGTGCAAATGGATGGCTCAGGCTATTGTAGGGTTGATCTCCTTTGAACTTCAGCAAAGGGAGGACAGGATTTCTTGTCAAAAATAGATCATGCCAGACAAATCTTATTGCATTCTTTCACCAAGTGACAAAATTAGTGGATCAGAGGAATGCTGTGAACATAATTTACTTGGACTTCAGTAAGGCATTTGGTAAAGTAGATCACAACCTACTACTTGATAAGATAGAAAAATGTAGGGTAGACAGAATTACCACAAGATGGATCCGTAGCTGGCTGACCGGCCGTACTCAGCGAGTGGTCCTCAATGGAACTGCATCTATATGGAGGGAAGTGTGTAGTGGGGTGCCCCAGGGCTCTGTTCTGGGCCCAGTGCTCTTCAATATCTAAATCAACGATTTGGACGAGGGGATCGATGGGGAACTCATCAAATTTGCAGACGACACCAAGCTGGCAGGAATAGCCAACACTCCAGAAGACAGGCTTAAGATAAAGAAGGATCTGGACAGACTTGAACACTGGGCACTATCTAACAAAATGAAATTCAATGGTGAAAAAAGCAAGGTTCTACATTTAGGCAAGAAAAACCTAATGCACAAGTACAGCATAGGTGGCACCATGCTCAATAGTACTAACTGTGAGAGGGACCTCGGAGTCCTAGTAGACAATCACCTAAATATGAGCCGGCAGTGTGCTGCAGCTGCCAAAAAGGCCAACACAGTGCTAGGCTGCATTAACAGGGATAGAATCAAGATCACGTGAAGTATTAATACACTCTTCAATGCCTTGGTAAGGCTACACTTGGAATACTGCATCCAGTTTTGGTCACCACGATGTAAAAAAAATGTTGAGACTCTAGAAAGAGTACAGAGAAGAGCAACAAAGATGATTAGGGGACTGGAGGCTAAAACATATAAGGAATGGTTGTTAGAATTGGGTATGTCTAGTTTAAGGAAGAGAAGCACAAGGGGGGACATGATAGCAGTATTCCAATATCTCAGGGGCTGCCATAAAGAAGAGGGAATTAAGCTATTTTCCAAAGCACCTGAAGGCAGGACAAGAAGCAACGGGTGGAAACTAATCAAGGAGCGAAGCAACCTAGAACTAAGGAGAAACTTCCTGACAGTGAGAACAATTAATCAGTGGAACAGCCTGCCTCCAGAAGCAGTAAATGCTCCAACACTGGAAGTTTTTAAGAAGAGACTGGACAGCCATTTGTCCGAAATGGTGTAGGGTTTCCTGCCTGAGCAGGGGATTGGACTAGATGACCTCCAAGATACCTTCCAACTTTACTACTATTACTATAATGCCTTGTGTATTTTATTCCACATTTTTATACCAGATTCCAGGTAAAAGGAACTGTGGCATTTTTAAGAGAACTGCTTGAGATAAAAGCAGAATTCCATTAATGAAGATGTTTGTTAGAAGGAGCATCTACCCAGTGTAAACACTGAAGCGCACATAGCTCTCAAAAATTTAGAGCATTTTCAAAAAAACACAGGTGCTCATACTCTGTCTGATCAGATCAATGCAATTTTTCTTTAATTTCAGTGGTTTGTATCCTCTATATTCCAGGATCACAGAGGAAGCTACCAGATGCACTATCGTGTAAACTTGAATATAATCCCCACTTTTCACAATCTTGAACCTGAACAACTTTGTCCTTCTAATTCTTCCAGAAAGATTGGGGCCAAGAAGGATAGATTTAGATTACAACAATAGGATCCATATGTCAGGACTCAGATGTATGACCTCCAGGGCAACTTACAGGCTGATTTGTTCCCTTTTTCTATAACTGACAGACAGTTGTTTCATAATGGCATTTTATATGTTCTCCTTCGTATAAGGGAAGAAATATTGCAACTTTGCTATAACAATAGAAATGCTGGACAAGAGGAAGTACTTAAAACTGCCATGGGTATTGAGAGAGTAAGAGCAGGTAAGGTATGAGGTAAAGGTAAGAGCAAAAGTCAAGGTCCATATTTCATCCTGCCATATTTGTCAATGGGCCAAGGTGGCCTGATTAATTTAATTTAGGACCCTCCCCTCCCTCTCTTGGGCCGAGACACAGTATCCATGGATTTTTACTACCAATCTTCTACAGATAAAGGGTTATAAACCATTTTTGTTATAGTGGATTTGTTTACTAAAATGCTCATTTCATTTTTGGCAAAGGCTTCCCTTTTACTCAGAAAACTATACAACCCTGTTTTTAGTACAGGAACTTGGATCATGGCTCTCAAGTTACATCCAGGTTTTGTAAGGACCATCTCCATTTATGTTGGATTAATTTGTCATTGTGTTATTAGCTGGGCATTACTGGTAACTGCAGGACATGAAACATTTAATCTCTGTCTGTTATCACCAGAACAATTGGATTAAACTGTTGCCTTTTGCAGACTTTGGCTAGAACTCAATTAATTCCTCCATAGATATGTCTCCTTTTCAGCCAGTTTATGGCTATCCGTATTTTGTTTGCACAATCAACCTTCTGTATCAGGCATGTCAAACTTGTGGCCCACGAGCCACATCTGGTTCATGCGGGCCATGCCCACTCTGGTACCACAAAGGTGAAAAACCCCCGATACGTCACCATATGGCCTGCGATGTGATTGGGCTTGACATCCCTTTTCTATATGGTTATATAGCAATAACAGTGGTGGGATTTAGCCAGTTTGCACCACTTCGGCAGAACTGGTAGCCAATTTTTTGTTGCCCAGGCCAGAATAGATTTCCGGAAGTGGCATCCACACAGAGAACTGGTTGTTCACATATTTGAATCCCACCACTGAGCAATAGCACTTAGCAATACCACTTAGATTTTTATACTGCTCCATAGTGCTTTACAGGGTACTCTGAGTGATTTACAAATGCAGCATATTGCCCCCCAAAATTTGGGTCCTCATTTTACCAACTTTGGAAGGATGGAAGGCTGAGTCAGTCTTGACCCAAGCAGGATTAACTCCAAGCTCTGGGCAGAGTTAGCCTGTAATACTGCATTTTAATCACTGCACCACCACAGCTCCATCCTTAAATGCATCCAATCAATCAGAAT